CAACTGTTACAATGTGGTTGCAAATTTCATCCAAATCATTTTGGTTTAACTCCAGAAAAAAAAATCTTTACAACTTTCCAGTCATCGCTGCTAGTCGATAGGAGTGAGTAACCACACAAATTTTCTTCGTATTCTTATGTTCATGAAAAAACTATCCAGCTCGCTGCTAATATGTGATCCTTCTGCTATCTGCAACAGTTTATTTCTTTGATCAGCCAGTACTAGTTTTTCGACTTTCTGAACATTTTCGGCCACAGTCGTCAATGGACGCCCCACAGATCTTCACAGATCTCTCTTCCTTGTTGAAATAGCCGAGCTCATCTTTTCACCACCGTATATAGCGGCCGCGATGTCCGATCTGGCCAGTTCCGACAATCGATCGTTTAAATATACCAGAGTATCTGTTTGTCAGGTCTGGTAGAAATATCTCAAACACTGAGCAAACAGAGGAACAGACGAACATGACTAAATCAACTCAACTCGACTCCATCGGTATAAATTCTTCTTCCGGTACTTACATACTTCGGACCAAAGTTAATATTTAAAGTGAGAATGGTATAAATACGAAGCAAGCACGCGAGTAACTCAAAATGTGTGTATGCAGTTCTATAACAACAATGTTAAATTGTGACCGCCAATACCGAGAGAGATAGAGAGAGCGTCGTGGGCTCAAATCAAGAGCAAAGTAATGCAATGCCTTGGATGGTATTTCTAATATAAAATTAAATTTCTTGCAAAAAGTCCAGCAGCGACTCAGAGGCGTTGTTGAACTCTAAGTCCTTCCATTTGTGGAAAAAATTAAGACACCATCTCATATCAAAGAAAAAGCTTAGCCAAAAATCCCTTAAGCGGTTATAAAGTGCATATGTATAGGTAATTTAAATGTAATACATGACGCTGTTATTGTAGCTGTTGGCAGCTGCAGACATACATATGTATCTACAACACCACCTGATAGGAGTTTCGTTGCTCAAGGAAAGCTTTATTTGAGTGCAAATCGATTCGCTCAACACTCATGAGAAAGTATTTATTTGAAAAGCACTCAATTTGGGGTTCATATTTTTGAAAAAATCTAGAAATAATTGCATACAAACAATATTCATAATATTCAAAACAAATTGACATTTTTTTTAATTTTCAGCATCTCTTTGTGCCGTTAGAATATAGTTTTCTTCTCCACAATCATTGACAAAATTGTAGAGATCTCAAATGGGTGTTTTTTTAGATAAGTAATTTTTTAAAAGAAGTAATAAAACGCATATAATTAAATTAAAGTTATGGTCAAGAATTTAGCTTCGATAAAGAAAAAGTAATACCAGAGGCTCGATTTTCGACCTATTTTTGCAACAATAAAAGCCGAATTCACCGAATATTTTCTTCCAAGACGTCAATTTTCTCTTCGTGGACAAACGACTACAGATAATCCCACAAGGAATAGTTTTACGGAGTTCAATCGCACGATCTTCGAGGACACATCCTAGGCCCACGACGCGAAATAATGTCATCACCAAAAGGCCGTCAGCTTTCTCTATACGGGCAAGGAAAAGTGTTTAATCTTTGTTCTATAGCATTCCCCATTGACTATGACATTAAGGCAATGACTCCCTTTGCTCAAAGATCACACAAACAGTGACTTTTTGAGGATCTAACGACTAGTTGTGGATTACTCAACTCCAAAGACGACAATTTTTATTATTATCGAAACCTTTCATTCAAGTGTGAACTTAAGCGCTGTAAAAAATTTGCTTGGAAAGACCGGGACGTGAGACGAGTTTCATGGTCGTTCGGCTTGCACGAATTGGACTTTGTACACTCGAAAGCCAATATGCTTCCGCATGATTTTCACTTGTTGCTCCTGAGTAAATCTCTTCATTATGGCATGGCAAGACAAACTTAATTAAGTAACAGCTTTCAAAGAGAGCAACTCCAAGAAAGTATTGCTTCCATGATAATCACACATTTAAAAAACAGCCTTTACAAAAAGATATCTTCGTAAAAAAATGAAATAATATAGTTTTGAAAAAAAAAATCAAGCTAATTTTTTCCTCGTAGATAAATGTATTTATTCGGTAGTGTTATAGAAACCGACAACAGACTTACTTATTTATGGGAATTGAAAATCAATATCTGTTTGAGATTTTTTTATGAAACGGACTTGATTTTGCTTTTGTCGAAGATAAGCAAAACCGATATTCGAATCAGCTGTCATCACACTTGTGAAAAAAGATCCAAGCTATTGAATTTAATGTTTGTTCTGGTATTAACACATTTGTGATTATTAAAAAGAAAATGACTGAAACGAAATTGGTTTTTATGTAGATTCATAGACCAATATCGTCTTGACAAAAAAAAGCCTTAGTAAAAGTGCTAGATGTCATTGAAAACCAGTTAGATAGGCTGTCTATCCCACATGTGCTCCAACTTGCAGACACACTGCGGTTTTTGGCAGAAGGCTCCTATTAACGGTTTGTGGGACTCAAATATCTCCTTAGCGCGACCTGCAGAGCAGTCTCGGTGGTTTATAACAGATATGCTAAAGGCTTTTGAACGTTTAAATTGCCCACGCCGGGAAATTTTAGGAACTAACGACAATGGAAAACTGAGAACTCGTGACTATTTTTACCTCAACTACCGCATTTCAGACATTTTTGGTTGTAAAATCTATTGTTCATGACTTACATTTTTATTAAATTTCCGCTTGCAAAGAAATTTGCACACAATTCTGTCAACGAATAACTGATAGGTTTAACTCTGACATTTAAACCGATAAATCGATTTCTGTAACGCCTAAAATTTGTTTAATATTAAATGTTGCTTACCATAAAATATTATCGATTTCTGTAACGCCTAAAATCGACACAATTTTGTTTCGAAAATGAAACCGATATACAAACAAATAATCGGAATGTGAAACCCCTTTAACCGAATTTTGTCGGTTTCAATTCTGATTACGACAAAAAATTTGTTTCGGTAATACCCGTAATTATCTGTATCTATTATTCTAAGCAAACAGCTAGAAAACTGCTACAAGTAAATCGAGGAATAATTTTTTGGAACAAATCATCACCAGGTCCACTTACCGGATATTGTTTTCCACCTTTTCTCTGATTTCTACAACGTCTGAATGTGATTTTATGAGAATTTCCAATCTCAGTGCCTTAAGGGGGAAAATATTATGAAAATAGACTAGATACGCTTTACATTCAGGAGCACTGCTCATATAACGTTACATTCGAAAATAAAAAAAGCCTTAAAATTAATTAAGTTGCAGCTTAAATCAGATAATCAATTCTTGGTACTTACCAGCTGTTAATTTTCTTCAGTTGTTCACTTTAAGCTCGATATTTTGCTCAAATTAGCTGTTGCTCCCGGTTTTTTTTCCAATACCTAAAGCAAATCTAGATTTTTGCGATGCAGCAATTTTTTTCGAAAAATAATAATATCAAATAGTTTTCTACTATTAATACCTGCTGGATAATTAATTTGAATATTTAAGCACATTTTTTAATAAATCACAGAACTAAATTAGCACAAGAACGGCCGCGATAGCCGAGTGGTTAACATTGCGTACTGACATTCGGAAGGCTCGGGTTCAAATCCTGGTGTCGTACTAACATCCAAAAACTTATAGAAAATTAATTAAAAAAAAAAATAAGTTTAATTTTCTAATTGTGGTCACCCTTCTGCAGGGAATTTCAACCTCTCGGGGTGTATTTCTGACATGAAATAAAAGCTCCTCATAATAAACACTATTAGCCGCTCGGAGGCTGTATAAACTGTAGGAGAAGCTCGGCCGAAAATCGCTTCAGCTTTTACAAAGCGCCAATTATATATATATAGTAGAAGACGGACCATACAAATAGTCTTCCAATTTGAATAATTTTCAGTGCCAATTTATGAAGTATACCAAGTTTCTCGCTCTCTAAGATGTTTTTAGACGATTTTTTTCGCCCAAAACCTCATACGTCAACATATCAAATATAAGGTGTATGCTAAAATGGTCCGATCTGTATCAAAAAACATCTGACGAACTAATTTCGAACGATATAAATTTTGATGGGTCATCCTTCTCGTCCCTATTTATTGTTCATGAAAGATTTAAAAAAATTGCTTCATAAAATATATTATTTGAAATACTATTTAAATTAAATGAAAGATTTATTTTTATTTAGTATCAAAGTGGTTAGAGAAACTTACTGCTATTGAAAGTACTACCAGATACTTTGGAATTTTCAGAACGATTTCCATAACAAATCCACATTACTTCCAAATGAATACAAGTTAATCAAACGTGGCGATATTTTCAAAATTTATATAAAGATGTAGCTCATGCGTTTTCCCATAGCCAAACCTTATCATGATTAGATCACGCAATTAATTAAAAAATCGCAGAACCAACAGCTGGCTGGCTATGTCACCAAAGTATCTATTAAACTTAAATTAGAGCAAATCCTATTCCTCACTAACACACCAATAAACATGTGAGACATTATTTTATCTATGATAAATATATATGTGTATACATATATATAGATAAATATGTGTATATACGAACTATAGAGCTTTTTGACGCAAACAAGTTGCATAAAAACAATATTAATGATGTCAACAACAACAATGTGCCTTGATGCAAAGGAATTTTCCGTCTTGCTAGTGGTTTTTGTTATTTTCGTTATGGCACAGCTTATTGGGAAAAGAGTTCAAGTGTTGTTGTTGAATAATAAGAAGACTAAATTGGCTAAACTTTTTTATGCAAAGCATGGCATGAACCACGGAAAATGGGATTTGAAAATGAATAAATGCGTATATATTAATATATATACTTTTGAACGTACAAAAGATTTAAAACTTAGGCAGAGAAGATTGCACAACAACAGAGGAATTCAACTTCTAACAGATTGTCTTGATACGATGATACGAGTATAACTACATACACATAAACTTATATATTTTATACATATATATAGGTATATAGGTATATAATTTTTCACTTTTTGGTATACAGTTTAAAGATCATATTTATTTCAATCACAGCACAGAATACAGAGAATATTATCGTACTTTATCGTATATATTTTTATATGTAATTAGTATTTTGTAATCAAACCTACATGTAATATGAAGAATGTTCTATTTTATAAATATTTATGTGTGTATATTGTATGTGCAACAGTGGTATTCAATATGTTTTTTTTTTTTTGTATAGTAACATATATAATGTTTGATTTATGGAAACTCGTCAATTTGTGAGATAATACATGTGTTTCGGAAACTAGAATATATTGTAAATTAAAGCACCCATTTAAAAGTAAGCTGCTATAGAAATAACTATGATTGGTTATAATTTTAACTTTTTAACATTTGGTTTGCTATATAGATTTTTTTTGTTTGTTTCGCTAAATGATTGCCTTTAGTGCTGGAAAGTCGATTTAAAAGTAAAGGAACATTTACATTAAAAATCTACAGAAATATACATACTTTCAATATATAATTCACATTTTGGAACTAAGGCTATTGAGCAATTTAATTTGTTCTGCAACCCATTCGTATATATTATATTTGGATTATAATAATGCTAGTTTAAAAAATATAATAATTTTAGTTACATAAAAATAATCTCAATAAGTTTACTAAGGAAAACAAAATGTAAACAAAAAATACATACGATTTGCAATAACTAGAATTTGCCATAAAACTATAAAAGCTACATATTTGAAAAACTAATTTGCACAATTTAACTAAATGAATGCAAGCAATTGTGATAAATCGAACACAAAGATTACAACAATAGCAATATGTATAGTTAAAATTGTGTATATGAAAAGTAATGCAACGAAAGTAAATTGTGAAGAACTACAGAGCATCTAATAATAAAAGTTTTGGTAATATTTAACATAGTAATTTGCATTTTATATACGTGTATATAATGTTCGTCAATTGTTCTTCAATTTTACATTAAAATATGGTCTTTTTTTTTGCCAATTTTGAAGCATAATATTAGAAGCTTGTGCTAGCTGCCTTAATCGAGATGATAAATGTCTATAGTTTTTCACTAATACTGGTAATTGTGTGGGAAAATTGCACGCGCTGGTGGATAGTGTGGATCATGTTGATTGCGATAGCGACGCGTCAAGAAGACTGCCAGTACCTGCAAAATTTAAATAAAATGGATTAGTATTGTTGAAATGATAGAGTTTTGGTGGAAAAGAACAGATATGAAAAAGCAGAAATACAGAAACAAATGGACAAAAGCGGAAAATTACAGAAATATACAAATTAATAAAAACACATAAATTAAAAAAGTTCCGATTCTTAAAAAAAAAATGGAAAACGGTATTTTGAACTCAAAAAAAAAAATTTGTAAATGCTATGAAATAAAATAAAAAAAAAATCTTAAAAGGAATGCTTAAAAGCATTGAATAACAGGAATTTGCATACTTCATAAACTATAGCTCACCGAAACATTTAAGAATATTGCAGGCATAGCGCCCTTGGTGAAATACTCGGCTGCATAGTCCACTTCAAATTGCAGTGTAAATTTTTATGCATTATAAAGTTTTGTGTATACTAAGGTGGTATTACATGGCAAGTTACTAGTGGACAGCGTTAATATTGGTACAATAGGTAGATATGAGTTTGATACTTGACTCGAGTAAGTAAAACTCTACGATTTTGTTTTACTTTTACATATTTTAAATATTTTCATTTCCAATATATACGTTATTATAAATGTTCTCATTTCAAATATACCTACATATGTATGTATGCATGTAAAATACGGAACATTTCCATAAATAATATAATATATTATATGTATACATTTAAGTATGTATAGTATGTATAGTATGTACGTGTATATATATAAATGCATTAGAACCTAAGACGATGGTTATGTTTTATTTATTTAATTATTTATAAGACGATTAATGAAGTTTAAATAGTTTTCAAGTTAGGTATGAATGTATGTTTTTTAGTATCTATTATATATATTATGTATTAGATGATTGTGTTCCTGCAGTTCAGTGCCGATATTTTATAGAAACGCACTGGGTAAACCGCGTGGATCTTTCTGATTGCGATAACGCACTGTTAGCCAAACACCAATAAACTACACGTATGCATGTATAAATTGAAAAATTTATTAGTATCGTTTGTTGTTAATTCTTTGAGTTTATTGAAAAGTACTTGAAAGAATACTCACCTCAGTAAAACTGAAGAAAATACCCAAACCGCCACATAACTTAAAAGCAAAATTGATTTTATCCTCCAATACAGGTAGGCATGGTGGGCAGGAGCAATTGATGAGATCACCAGAGCAGCAATTAGTGTTTAAAACTTCACATTGTGTACCCGAATTTGTAGTATTAAAGCCACAGCAAAAGAAAGACTCCTGCACTTGATGACGTATAGAATCTGGCACATTATTCCAACCTTCCTCCGCAAATTCTTTTTGTTGTTCCGAGTTTACAGCTAAGCATGAGCTGGCAATGGAGAATTGTATGAGGAAGAGCATGAAGAGTATGATCATGTACTGTAGTGGTTATTTCACCAGTTAAGGAACCCATTCATATATTACAATACATTTAAAATTGTATGGCATTATTAAATTATTAGCGCTTTGCAACACAACTCAAGTAATTGCATATATCAAACATTTCGATTGTACTTAATGAATTTGCCGTACAACAAATATACAAACATTTTTAGTGCAGCGTTCGGCGTATGAATTTAAATTAAATTACGTATGCAAGTAAAGGTCACGTGAAACGATAACCTCTTTAGCGACCATCGGCATAGTTATCACAAACGTAAAATGAATTGAAAAGTATATTTAATACAAAACTAAATGTATATTAAAAATTAAAAATTAAAAAAAAAACGGAATCACTTGAAAATATTGTTTGGCATTCAACTTTAGCTGAAATTAGTTTGTTAGTTAGTTGTTGTTTGAGATTATATAGATAAGTAAATCTGTGCTAATCTTATCTACATATATAAATTTTCTTCATCTGCTAAAAATAAATAATCTTTTTGTAGTAATCACCGAAGATCTGAAACATTTTCTAGTCTGTTTTCTTTTTTTGTTTTTTAAAAAGGATACGAAAAATAGCATCACTTGATGATGTTTCACTGCACCGGCCAAACCGAGTATTGAAATTAATATAAGTATAACTCCGCAGGCTAAAATTCCACCCACAATTGGTAGATTTGTCACAATGGAAGCTGCACGCGCATAAACGCCAACGCCAATCAACAAGAATCCAACCATCTGCAAGCATACAGAAAAGCAATACACATACACATGTACGCAGTCAGTAAAATTTTGCAAAATCGATAAATAGTTTGAAGGATTCCTTTGGGTACTTCCGTGCGAAGACCCTGAGGGTATTCCCCAAAGCGACAGAGGACTACAGAAAACTGCTCATTCCGCACTTACCACATACAAAATATTAAGCGTTATTAGCGCGTTCTTCGAGCAAGTGAAACCCCCACACATTTTTACACAATTTTGGTAATTAACTTATACTTTTAGTTAAATAATTTCACTTTAAATATTTAATTTTTTATACAACTTTATGCGCTAATTCTATTATAAATATTATTCCAGCTGCTCTTAATTTTGCTATGCGTAAATATTTTTTCGTTTCTTTTTTGCTTCATTCCTTCCAACTGTTCCATTTCGTATATGACTGATTTTCGGGGTTGCCAGGATAAGTAAATTCTTCATTCAAAAATTTTTTTGAAATTAAATAAGTCATAAAAAAAATTAATTAATTAAATTAATTTTTACTCTAGAAAATAATTGTAAAAAAAATAACTCAAAAATTTTAAAAATGTGAAAATTTAGGCGCTCCAATAAAGAAATTCGTCTAAATATTTGTATGAATTCCTAATGATTGACTATAAATTTCTGGTGTCCACATTTTGCAGGAAAAATTTTTTTTTATCTTTTTAGAACTGGGCTGCATAATTCGTAAATATATACGAGTATGTATATATTTTTTATTTATGTACATTTATGTATATCTTTTCCATGCAGCAATGATTTTTGATGATAAAGTTTCTTGAAAATTTACTTTGAGCTTCTTTAATGTCTCTGACAAAACCGCGCACGATTTACGATGACGTAAATTAAGTTAACTAGAATTTCATGCCACTTAATCCTAATATTGTAATATATTAAATATATTGCTGGTTATTTAGTTTATATAAACTATTATTTCTGAGCGGTTCTTGCCAAAATGGCTATATTATCTAGTGGCCGGAAGTAGTCCATTATACTGATTTTGAAAATCTGTAATGCATGTCTTAAGCTAACTTTTAAAAATCTACAATAGACATAGCCGCGATAAATCGTTATATATTTTTCCTCTAATTTACTGAAAAACAGCAGGATTCGAGTATAACCAAAATAATATCATTTAAGGATTAAAAAAAATATTCATGCATAAAAACTAGATTTTATAATATATATTATTAATATATGTATACAAAAATAAAAACCTTTATATGTATGTATCTCGCCGAAAATTTTAATGCTGGTTTTAAACATTTAATTTTACCTTAATGTAAGGAGCTTAATATTTTTTCTCTGAATAAATTGCTTTATACAACAATCCACTGTTATATAAATTATTAATATAATGCCCGTCTGTATATATGCAAACTGGTCCCTCAGTTATTGAGATATTTCAACCAAACTTCGTGCATAGACGCACTTTTACATTTAAACAAAATAAAACGTTTTTCTGAAATGATGGTTGGGTCAAAAATCTGTCGAAAAAGAGGCTAATAGCACAACGATAATGAACCAAATCGATTCTGGATTTTCCAATGAATTTAATATGGCAGTGAAAAGTACAAAGACTTTTCTTTCTTCTTGTTTTTACTTGGATTCTGAATTTTCATTTAAAAGAAGCGAAAAATATTATCATATCATTGTTCATGATCTCAAGAAAAACCCATTGGACCATGGCCCGTAGTCAATTTTAATTCTCTCCACATTTGAAAAAGGTTAAATATCACACAAAATTGTAAATACGGTGATGAAAATGCCAAATACAAATGCTAAGTGGGAAAATAAAGGCCGATAGATCAACGTGCGTGCAATTTGTACCTATATTAGAGCGAAGCTAGCACTGCTGACTTGGTATAAACAACACCGGTATGAAGAGAAAATGAATGTACTGTGCCCTCTGTAACCGCTCAACATTCCCTGCCGAGAGCGAACGCAATAGAAAAATTAATTTTCTATAATTTTGGAAGTTGTTTTATATTTTGGAGAAAATTTTGGGACAATTAAGAGTGAAAATCTGGCGCCAAAAGCGGCAAAGTGACAACACTGCTTAATACACTTGAATTCACCACATCCTCCGAAGCGCCTAAAAGCACACAGCAATTTAAAAGCCAACATTGGCTCATTTTTTCGCGCCATACGCCGCTGTAAACATTGTGGGATGAAATGCGTAAGGCAGTTATCGGAAGAGAGATTGACAAAATTAAGCGAGAAATTATCACTTGTGCTTGACTTTGAACTAAAGCTCTGCTCTGATATATATATATATATATGTGCACACGTATATAGGTACATAAAAAAATTAAATGGCACACGCAACAAACTCTTATTGAGATCTCAGCAAAATGTAAATGCAAGTCATGTAATGAAAGCCCCAAAAAGAGGTATGTATGTGTGTAGTTAAGCCAGGCAAATCGTAACAACAGCAGCTCACGGTGTTTACATTTGTCTGGTTTGCTGCGAAACGTTTGCGGATTTATTTGTTAGTTTTCATTTGTTTGTTGTTTGTGGTGTTCGGTTTGCCTAGAATTTTTAACTAGAAAAAATTGATGTGCAAAAGATTATTGATAAATGATATGATAAAAGCCGTCACAAAGAAATGTATACATACATATATGTATATGTACTTATGTTTAAATATATATCTTTAGTGGTAGCAGAAATTTCTTAACGGATCACCTCTATACCACAGATCAAAGTGAGTAAATATGAAAATAATTAATTTCTCAGGCATTTGTGCCTTCGCTCCAAGCGTGAAATAGTCGGTAGCAAAGAGAAAAGAAAAAAAAAAAAACAATCGCATAATTACAATGAAATGTAAATAATGAAACGTGGCTAAAACAAAACCGATAGCAGACACTGGGCAGTAAGCGAAGCGAAGAAGCAGATCTTGTGAGTCGTTTTCAATCGCAGTACATCGGCATGTGCATGTGTGAACACCGCTTAAGTCTGATAATCAATTTGTTCAGGAAAACTGTTTCAAGTTTTGATTTATCATGCAAAAAGCTATAAAAGTGTATACGAATGTGTGTTAAATATTATGGGGTTAAATGTGTGAAAGTACTTTAAAAAAAGTTCAATATTATTGTCATCCTTTCAAAAAAACAAAAAAAAAACTAACAGAAAGTTTTATGCATCACCAGTTCAAGCTTTTGTCATAGCTAAAGCTTGGTGCAATATCCGGATTATTAGGCGGTAGCATAAGAATCTCCCAATCAAGCACTCGGATTTTTTGGCGAGTCACTATCGATGTGTGTGACCTGGCGTTGTTCTGATGAAACATAATTCCCCTCGTCCGATTTAGGAGTTTGGCCTTAGGGAAACATACAACAAAACCTTTCTGGTCATCAACACTGCCTTGAAGGCCATTTGGGCCGGCTATCGTGATTATGGGTGATTATTGTTTGTTCATTGCGTATTCATTCTTTTTCAAATGGTTCCAAACTGTTTTTTGCGAAATTTTTGGCGCCTGAGCAATCGGAGCAGTGCTCACGCGCAATGGTCAGACTCGACGATTTCTGACTGTACTTTTGCCTTTGCGAAGAAAAACTGTAGAATATGACATATTTTCTTCTCTTTGCTGGTGTCCATCTTTGACAAACACTTAGGTTAAGTGATCAGTACTGCTCCAGTTGTCTTTTTCTGTACAAACTATCACCATTGTAACGTCATCTAGCTAAATCCAATCGCACTTATAGTATAGTAGGGGGGTACAGTTTCCTAAGGCCATCTATTGCGAAAATAGTGGATTAATTTTTACTAGACTTATTGGAGTTTCATTATTTATATATTTTCCTTGTGTAACCTTGTTAGTGTGACGTCAGTAAAAACGGTTTATTATTCAAATTTATAACTGTGTGTGACGTTACAGTGTTTGGAGCACTGATTGCATTTTATAATTTCTGTTTGAGAAATAGTTGCCGGAAGTCTTTTGAGTTACCTTTGAAACCACCGTGCACTATCTTCGATTAGAATGCATTGCAGAATTTCAAAGCCCCATTATAAGTACGTATAGTAACCTCTCTCAAAGTCTATTCATAAAGACTTGCCCAAATCGGATGAGTACTAAACGAATAATGTTGCTATGCAAAAATCTTCTCAATCATCTTCCGTTGCGATTATCAGCTTTTGCGTGGGTGAGTGAATATTCAGATGAATAAGTAGTACAAAAAGACAAATATATGTATGTACATATGCATACATGTATGTATATAGTTCGTAGGCAAACGGAAGTGAATTTAGAATTAAAAAAACTAACTAACCGACAGACCCTAAAGTATGAGATTTTACTAAGGAACTCAATAAAGTGAATTTTCTCAGCTCAATAGCATTGTTTGTATGTATGTTATATTGTATATAATTTTTGTTTGATTTCCCTTGTTTACTCTTTCTCTCTCTATCTCTATCTCTGTTTTGTATGCAATATCTGTTACCATTGCTTAACAGTATTTTATATGTCTGTGACGTCACAAGCATTCCGAAGCGTTCACTGATGCGAAACCCAACAGCTCAGATGCATTGCATACAGAAAAAGTGGAAAGCGAAAAGGAAAATAAATTAAATAATAACGATACTGGTAAAATAACATGAATTATGATTACACTTTTGATGATTTTAATTACTATTTATGTGAATTAGGGTGTACCTATGTAAATACATCCAAAAGATACAATCTAGAGCTTACAATTACTGCACAAATCTAAGTGGCAGAAGTTAAATGTTTTTACCTCATTTTCTTTTCACTTTATTAAAGGATTTCTTTTTTGTTAGATGTGTGCTTTTCAACGAGACAATACTTTGTTCGGTGTTGGTCTTTTTGATAGCTGCTACTTGATTTATGTTCAATTTTGTCATTTCATAATGAATAGTCTTTCTCTGGAACAACTTTTGCAAATCGTGCGATTTTCAATTCCAAAATAGTAGTTCTTTTTACGCTGTGCATCTCGAGCTGCGTTCAATATTCGATCGAAGTAATGGCTCAACAGGGTCGATAGTTCGAGCAACCATAGATTGATCTCCCGCCACGTTAACTGTAATGGATAATGGGCATCCTCAGAGCAGAGCTGCTGCTGTGGAGCAGAGTAACGTTTAAGATCCGCCCATCCACTTTATGGAAGATTTTGTGGAACGATCTTGGCTTGCGAGCTTACAAAATTAAACTCATGCAAGAATTGAAGCCGAATGATCTTCGCCTGTGACGTTCACAAGTAGATTTTGTTCAGCGATGCAGCTTACTTTAGATTGAATGGGTTCGTTAATAAACAGAATTTCTGCCTTTGGAATGATGATAATCTACAAGTAATTTTTAAGACGTCGTTTCATGCTTAAAAAGTTACTGGTAGGTGCACTCTGTGAGCAAAGGGA